CTGCCCTGAGTAGTGGGCTAGACTAGACTACCTTGTCCCTTCTACTCCTATCTTCCTATGATGACATCAAGTTTGATTATATTTCATTTAGGTTAGGCACATACATTCAAAAATATTGAGGCAGAGGTAATCTAAGTTTCATAGCTTACTCTAGGCATGCTTTTACAAGTGCTCTGGAGTTGGGGGGGTGGACAGGCATTTTAATTAGATTGGATTTGGGGCTCCCAAAAGCTGCTCTAATTAAAATACCCATAGCATCTCATGTATTCAGCATCCTGTGTTTCAAAATGGCCCCTGCTGCCATTTCAAAATTCAAGGATGCTGAATACATGAGACAGTGCAGCAGGCTGGAACGTTTTGATTAGAATGCTCCAGCGGACTAGCTTAGTCAAGTCTGCTCTGTCACATTCTTAACAGAAGGCATTGGAGCATATGTTAAAGAGCCCTAGGCTGTATGTAGATGAAACGGAGCCCCTAAATTGAACCAGTGGGTTTTAAAAAACACTGCTTCAATTTAGGGCTGATTAAACCCCTATGTTGTGCACACACCCCTCTGACTTACTTGGCTTTCCAGCAGGAAGGGCAGGGCAAACTGCCAGTGAGCAGAGCAGTCCCTGGGCTAATGGAGGGGTGGGGCTGGTGTTTCCCTCTGTGGCAGTGGCTTCCCAAACCCACCATGTCTGCAGCTGTCATCTCAGAGCAGCCAAACTCAAGCTGAGTTCCAAGGCACCTCTGTGTGAGGGGGTAGCAGGGAGAGCTGCAAAGGTGCATGGGATGCCAGTGGACAATGACCTAAGTTGACTCCAGAGGGGATCTGGTACAGAAGTTTGATAGGCCGGTCTAACCTAAGTCAATTAAGTCTGATACTAAATCCATTCAGGTTTACCTTAGTTGGGTTCTGCCATTTTTAACCAAGTGGGCTGAATTTCTTTTCTGTTACAGGTTTAGACTGATTTCCAATCACTTGTACCAGTTTACGTGTAGTGTCTGTACCTGACCTTAACGGCCACATCAGCAATCTATCAAACTATACAGGGGCTCGGTTTTTTTTCTAATCTTATGGTTGAAAAATTTCTTACAAAGCTTATGAGTGCGTGCAGGACAGGTTCCACCCTGATACCTCAAGTTGGTTCTCCCTAGTCACCATCTAAGTTTATGGACCCGTTTAAAGATGACAGAATTTGGGCAAGTACATAAATTGCCATGTCCAGAGGTATTTTTTCAGTTTATATATAAAACTCAACTGGTTTTGCTTGCATCTCAGATGAAGTCGGGCATGCTGAGTCACATAGGTACAGGATGTCATGTATTCCAATGCCTGTAGATATTACTGTCCTTGCAAAGTGTTTATACAGGTGAAGAAGTTTACCATATTTACTCAAATCTAAGACAAGGGTTTTTTTTCCCAAATGGTATGGGGAGAAGGCACCTCATGTTAGATTTGCATACAAATCAGGCAGAAGCTGCGGAGGGAAGTGGAGTAGGGGGGCAGAAGGCTACTGTGGGTCTGACTCTGGCCATGACCTGGGCTCAGGGCCACAGTCAGAGCCACAGCAGCCACCTGCCCCCCTCCACTTGCTCTCTGTGGCTTCTGCTCCCCTTCCTTCCCCTACACCACCACCTCCTTCCCCTCTTACTGGCCAATCAGCAGCTCTGGGAAGGAACAGTGCCCAAGCAGCACCTGATAATAAGGGAGGAGGGAGTTGGGGAAGAGGCACAGACTGTGAGGAGCAAGGGGGAAGGGGAAGTTCGGGGAGGGGTAAAGGTTGTGGGGAGGAGCAGAGGCTGTTGGGAGCTGGGGGTATGAGGGTGCCACTGGTAGAGGGGACAAAAAGAAGCTGGCAAGGCAGAAGGCAAGGAGGCCACCTGACTTCCTCTGTTGTAGCAGTGGGTGGGGAAATGAATTACAGACAACCCTCTGATCATTAGATTCTATACATGGAAAATTATAACAAATGTATATATTTTCCATATATAGAATCTAATTATTGGGAAAATCATCTTAAATTCAGGGCCAACTTATATTCAAGTAAATATAATACTACAAAGAAGTTCTCCTGAGATATATAAGCCATTCCTGTTATCAAACTGAGTCAAGTAAGGTCAAAATGAACTCATTTCTTAAACTGGTGACAGATTTGATTTTTCTCTGTTAATTTTTAGACCCAGTCAAGTGAACAAGGACTGGATATGTAGGATGATTTTCAATATTTTCTGCCTAAATAGAAAATGATCCACTTGTCCATGTATGGAAATAATCAGATAATGAGGTGGTTTGTAACCACTGCCATACATTTTGTAAATATTCTCAGGGCTGATGAGAACATCCAACATGAATAACAGAATATTGGTGGCAGGAACGCTTTATTAAAAATTTCAAACATTTCATGTGACCTGGACAAGTTGCCGCATAAAAATGTGCACCTACAAGGCAAGAGAAGTATTCCATTCCCCAATATCCAAGGAAAAAATGAGAGAAGACAAGACATCATCACTTGCTCTCCACGTTTTTTCTGCTTACCCATCTGTACAGAACTGCTCCATAGCTCCAGGATCTAACACGGACTGCACCTTTTGAGCACAGAAAAGTTGTATGGGGGTCTAGAACTGGATGGTGTGACCCATCTACACAATGCCTAAAAGCATAATTTCTTGAACTGTTTTATGGAGGTCAATACAGTGAAGGAATTTAAGAAACCATTACCAAAGACAGGTGATGGGCTTGCAAGATACTGACTGATGGGTAAGCTGTTCTCAAAAGTGATCAAAACGGATGTTTTGAAGGTAATGGGTATGTTGAGAAATCTTATGGAAGCTGACTTTGAAGAGATTCTTAGGTGCTTTTTTGTCTTCTAGGGGAATCAGGCTGTCTAGGAGGGTGAAAATCTGTCCTAACTGTAGTAATGCCACCCTGTAGGGCGGTGGTAGCCAACCTTTTCAGCTGGCATGTCACAAGTTAAGCCTCAACCCTCCCCAAGTGCCACTCTGATCCCCACTCGTTCAGTGGCTTACCTGATACCCCAGGCTTGTACCCTGGGGTGCCAGAATGAAGGCTCATGTACTACAAAGAATCTTCCTGTACACTTGTGACATGCATGCTGAGTTGCCCCCCTCCCCCTTGCTCTAGGAGCACACCCAAGGATCAAAAGATCAAAGGTTCACACTCAAATCCTTAGGGGAAACCAAGTGTTTCATTCTGTGCAAAAAGTATATGTTTTGAAAGATAGGTCGTCAATTGTACTCTGCCCTTCTCTGAATATCCGGGTGGTCCCAAGGGCTTTTCTGTACCTTACATTTAATATTTACTGGATACAAAGCAGCAGGGCTATTTCTGCTCCATTAAAGGAAGAGGCCAGGGCCACACTTCAAGATACACAGCAGCAACCATCTTGCTGAACTACTCCCCCTCTAGCTTGCTCTCTTCCTCCTGGCCCCACATATCTCAGCCTCCTGGTTGCCCAACAGTCCAGCTTCAAGAACAGGGCTGGAGAGTTCTCTAGGTAATGCCTTCCCCTTGGCCTGATGTTTAAAGCGTTTTGCTGGCAAACAGGAGATTCAGGTTAAAATTTCCTCTGAGTCAAGGGGAAAGACTAGACCCCACGTCACCTGTCTCCTGTGCAAATACCTTAACCACTGATCTATTAAGGCCAAAAGGTGGGAGAACCCTCCTTCTCCTTCAAATATATGCAAGTCATGATTTTTTTAGACTAAAGCATGGAAACTTACCTAGCATTACATATGAACAAAAGTGCCTACACAGCCAGAGTACAGCTTTCAGAGCATGCTCAGAAGTAAAACACAGACTAAGGATAGCCGCATGCAAGCACCAAAAATTGCAATTACATGGTTACAAACATGCCAGTCAGGTACATAAAGATAAAACAGGATCTACTCCAATTCTTTTGCACTCTGTGTTTTGGTGTCAATTTGATTTGCATTTGCTTTGTACTTTTGTTTGCTGCCACCGCAAATAGGAACTCCAACAGTTAGGTAGGAGAATAATTGCACAGAGCCCTTTGAAGGGATTCATAATGGTCTGTCTTTATGAAGTGGGAGAAAAGAAGCTAGAGTTTGCCAAAATATTCTGATATGGTTAAATAATACTTCATTTACAAGAAGTGCTGCACTTTCTGGAACTGTTGTATGTCATACATCCAGGAGTTTGTGTGAATTCTCCTGAATTACAATGACCTACATCTTACAGTTGAAGCTGTTCTGTGCATCAGGCGCTAGAAGCCTGTCAAAACTTCAAGGATAGTGCTATAACTTCATTGGTGAGTACCACAAATTATGGGCAAATACCCTTTCGTGTTCATCATGCACCTTTTCACTGGATTGGTCCAGAGTAAAGACCTGTTCAGTTAACTGAAATAGTAAAATGTCCTTCCTACAAGCATATTCATGAGTCACAAACAAGAATCTGACATCTAATGGCTGGGTCTGGATATAGAGGTAGAGTGCCATGTTAAAGGACCCCAAGGAAAAGAATCCTTAGGAATAAATCTCTCAAGATGCCAAGCCAAATACTAGCAGTGAAGGCCGTCCTGCATAAACTAGCAGATGAACTGGAAAACAAGAAGACCAAGAGATGAAGGCAGCCTGGGGAGTACCATGTTGCACCATGAGTAGGGGGAAGGAATTTAAGAGACACAGTGCAGCCCTGCCCATTGCCTGTAGCTAGAGGCAGAAGGACATTAAATCTATGTACCACTTCAATTAGCGCTAACAGGCAAAAGTTTCCCACTTTTGTGCACTGGATACACACACACTTACAGTAGAATGTAAATATGTACAACCATGCAAAGGAGAACTATTACTTTGCATCCCCCACATTAAATATTTTAAGAAGTCTGGATTATCAAAACAATAATAAAACGTCAAAGGCACCAATAATCACCAGACAGAATAATTCTACTTAACTCATTAAACATGATACATGGCTCCATTCATATGTGCTTTGAGGCATATATATAAAATAGTTGGAAAAGCTGGTCACTTACATCATTCATGTATTCAGAAAGAAGATCTTGGAGAGCCTGGCGGATGGCATTACACTCTGTGATAATATGTTCTCGATGAAAGTCACGTGTGCAGGAAGAATCAGCTAACAGAGCTGCCCCACTGATGATCGCTTCTAAACGCTTCTCTAGTGATGGCCTTATGTCCTCTTCTTTTATGGCAAGTGGATCCAAGATGATTAAGCTCTAGAAATTGTTTTTATGAGAAAAAAAATTACACTAATGCCTTGTCTTTGGTCATTTCTTCCCTGGATTACTATAACATTCTATTTCCCCATCTTCCTTCTTACCACTCCTTCCTATTCAAAAATAGCCAAAGAACTGTTAATCAAGGCAGTGGAAATGCATCTCATAGGAGCCTAATCAAAATAAATGGGCATTCTATTAGATGACCAGGTCGGTCATACTGCAAAGGCACAGTAGATTATTTCAGACCAGATAAACTGCAACCAGTCTATATCTTTTGGAGCACTCTCACTATACTCCCCTTCTCCCTGAATCCTTTAATTGGCTTGTGTTTCCTGCTACATCAGATTCAATATTTTCATCCTCACCCTCGCAGTCTCACAATGTCTCCCCATCATACTTTTCTCATTTCCTCATTTCCCAATCATATTTTACGTGTTGGATGAAATTATATTTATCAGTTTAGAATAGTTTGGTTCCCCAACATGGTAGTAACTGACTGCCATTTATTCTTTATTTGTTTATCCTCTTGACTCCACTCTGAAGTAGAGGAGTGTCATCGTGTCCTTTCTACAGATGAGGAACTGAGGCACAAAGTTACCTGGCCAAGGCCTTATAGGAAGTGTGCAGCAGAACAAGAAGTAGAACACCAGTCTTTAAGAAGAGGCTGGATGCCTACCTGGCTGGACTCATTTGAGTCCCGTTTCTTGTTTTTGGAGTTTTTGTTGTTCTCCCGCCCTGGCGGGGGGTCGGGCTAGAAGATCTACTAGGTCCCTTCCGACCCTTAATCTATGAAACTATGAAACTATGAAACCAGTCTCTTGAGTTCCGGGTTGCCACCTGTCTTTTATTGGCGAGTTTTGTCATTTACATTAATGGAAAATGGTTTTATCCTTTATCTAGCCCTCTGTCTACTAAACTACTCTCTTTTCTTCTTTCAATTTTTTCTTCAAAATGTATTTCATAAAGGATATATGCCTCTTTGTCACCTCCTTTCTCTGCCCTCATTTTCAATTTTATTTTAAAGCCAGGGGATATTCAACACCTCACAAGATTGGCCTCTTAAAGTCTGGATTTTTAAATTCAAGGAGAAAATCAACAGTGTTTGCCTTTGGCTTTAAAAAGCCATCTTGGATTATGTGATCAGGCTTTGATTTTCAGGCCAATGTGGCAACTGACTGGCAAAAAAGAAAAACATAGCACTTCCATTTCAAGAGACTGAATAAGCAAGCTGCAAAATACTTGTGTGTGTATAGAGATAGGGTGGTGTTAATGTTCTGAGGTTTTGTTTAAAATATATTAGGCTAACTACAGGCATTCAAAAAGCCTCTGATAGAAGCACTCCATTGCACTTTACTTAATTGCACTTTACTAACTATAAGTTAGAGCAGGAATGAACCAAACAGACATTCGCTATTCAGTAGAGGGGAGGGGGGACTCAGTGCCTGCCTGCACTGACCAAGGCCAGCAGACAGAGGACACTCCCACATGCATCCCAGGAGGCTGCTGGAGCAACCCTTCTCCCCATCCCTGCCTTCCTCCCTTACCAGTTGGCAACTGTCAGCAGTGGCTGGAGGAGAGAGAGAGGGAACAGAGCCCCCCACTGCAAGGGCCCCCTAAGGGCTTGCTTGTTGGGTAGCATCTTGGAGAAGGACCAGGCTGGGTCCACATGGCAAGGAGAGCTCCCTTCCCCTACACCCCAGCCTCTAGACAGCTGCAACCAAGAGCTGAAACACAAGGCTGCCTGGCCTGCCTTTTCACTGGGCCGGGGGGAAGGGAGCCCCTCTGCCACACAGACCCAGCATGACTCCCCACCAAGACCCAAGTCAACAAGCTGTGGGGGGGCCCTCATGTGAACATCTGTTCTGTTATGGCTTTAAAGAGCTCTCTATGCTCTTAACATATATTAAGTGTAATGTTTGTACCTAGCCTTAGAAATCTAGACCCAACTTGGGTCCTGTCTAGCCCTGAAAATTCCATGGGTGCAAAATTTATGACAGAGTCATATCACAGGATAAAATAGTGATAAAGTGACAATTAGTTGGACAATTTAAAAACTCTGCTTGTTGTTTTTAATACTTGTCTTCAATTAAATGAATCCTATATACAGAAAATAATCTGTATACAGAAATCCAGTGCATTGGAGCAGGCTCCCTGCATATGTATAGGAGCCCATTATGTGCCACAAAGAAATGAGACCTATGACAAAACCTTATGAAACAATAGTCCAATATGTCACAGTGTTAAGGAAACTCAGCAAGGCCTGTGGTGAGTTGCAGTTTCTGATCAGAAATGGAATAGCTTGTACCATTAAAGACCATGAGCTAGGAGAGAAGACTGCTTTGTGCAACCAGTTTAACCCTAGACAACAGGCTCCAGATATTCAGGGCAGAAGAAATGGTGAAAGCTCAAGCTAAAGGTCTGCATCCATAAGAAAGGGTTTTTTCCATGCCTTACATGCAGAAGAATGTAGCCAGAAAAGATCATATCAGAGAACAAAACCATGTGCAAAGAAAGCAGCTGCTTGAGGTGTATCTACCTGGGTGTATCTACACATCACCCTACAGTGACATTGTGATGTGCTATGTCGCCATATGGTGTGCTACAGTGATGTAGCGAATAGCTATTCTCTGTGTCTACATGTAACCGCCAGCTATGTCACTGAAGTGGCATGCTCCTCTTGTATAGACATGTAGACACACCCACTGTGTACTACAGCCAATTACACAGGAAGTGCAGGTTGCAGAATGGCCCCAAAATGTTCTGCCTTTAGGAAGCCATTAGAACTGTGATCGAAATAATCATGTAGCAAAATGCTAAAGATCCCAAATGTGTATGTCAAATGTATACCTTGATTGAGTTCTTTGTACATGTATTAGCATAGATACATAGAACTCAACTCAGCTTGGCTGAATTCTAAGTAGAACTATTAGTATCAAGCAAAATTGTGTAGATGGACTGGAGAATATGGATGTTTGTGAATGAAACAATTATTCCACACAAACTGGATACTGGGGTCCAGGTTAATAGAATCATATAGAATCATAAAATTATTGAAAATTAAGGTTGGAAGGGATCTCAGGACGTTGTCTGGTCCAACCTCCTGATCAAAGCAGGACCACTAGATCATCTCAGCCAAGGCTTTGTCTAGCTGAGTCTTAAAAACCTCCAAGGATGGAGAGTCCACAACCTCTCTGGGTAACAGTGTGCATCAAAATAATTATAAAATGCTGAGAGTAAGACCAAATGGAGAACAACAAAAATAAAAGGAACGGGTTATTCAAAAGCAAACCTATCTGTGAAAGCAAGATATGTAGTGAGCATCAGATGCAAAAATATCACATACAAACTCCCATTCATTGTGGTAGCTAAGCATGTTAAACCAATTTTAGATCAGGCTGTCTGTGAGAAGCTCAAGCTAATAAAACATGCGTTTTATAGAGAAGATTCACTCCAGAGTGATGTGCTGGTAACCTCTCCTCTCTAGAGCTAAGTACAGACAGTCAAAAAGCCTAAGGCAGAATCGACTCAATGTACACAGCTTCTTCTATGCTGCATAGGTTGAACTGATAACCAACTGAACTCACGTTCAGTTTGCAGTTGGGAAAGGCAGGGGGAGGCCTGCACTGATCCAGGCCAGTAGGCAGAGCAGTACTTCAGCATGTCTCCCAACCCGCTGGCCAGTTTGAGCCCAGCCAAGAGGGGCCATCCCAGATCGGCTCCCTAGTACATGCCCCCACCCCCTTGCTGTTCCACCACAAGGGATTGAGGAGTCCCCTGTCCAGGTGCTGGCCCACCTTGGAGAAGGCTCCCCCTCAGGGGGTTTCTCCCAGCCTGGGCTCCCCAGCCCAGGCAGCCCTGGGGAGCCAAGTCTAAGGCAAACAGCTGCAGAAGGGTGTAAGAATTTCCCTCAGCTCCCTGAGGCTGCCCTGGGCTGTACCTGAGACTTGCAGCAGCTAAGGGAAACAGCTGCAGGGTTCAGGAGGAAGTATTCCCCTCAGCTGCTTGGGGCTGCCCCAGACTGTGGGATCCTGGGCTGGAGTGGGGGGAAGCCACCCAAGGCAGGGGCTCTCTAGTGCCCCCGTGTTGAGCTGCACAGGCAGTCCAGAGGACTCCTTCTCCTCCCATCTTGTAGCAGCGGTTGAAGCAGTCAGCAGCTGGGAAAGGGGAGGAGGGAAATTCCCCTTAGTTCCCCAGAGCTGTGCCCAGCTAGGGACCCCAGGCCAGGGTAAAGGAAACCCTCTGAGGTTGGAGGTCCCTGGTGCCAGCACCCCTGGGGTTTGGGAACTCCTTCCTCCTCCCTCCTGTGGCAACTACTAAGGCAAGCATCTGTGCAGGGGAAGGGGAGGTGGGGAATTACCCCAGTGAGGGGAGGGCTGTGCAGGACTGAAAAGCCCCCACCACAGGGGTTTCCCTCCCCTGCACAAACTGTGTAGACCTGGACTAGGAGGGTCTAGGGGTCTGTTCCCCTGCCCCTCATGCCTATGGGCTGACGGACATAGGTAGGAAGCAGGCTAGTTAGCAGAGGAGCAGCAAGTCCCTGCTCCACTGGAGCAGACAGCACAGCCCAGCATTGCAAACCATCCTGGGATGGTGGGGGGCTGTGTGTTAACTTGAACCAGGAAGGTATCTGGAACAGAAGTTCCATAAACCAGTTTGACCTAAATCAGTTAGGTCTGATACTACATCCAACCAGGTTTATCTTAAACTGGTTTTGGCCATTTTGAAAGTGGTTTATATGCATGAAACTTCTGTTCTGTTACAGGTTTAAATAGGTTTCCAATCACTTAAACTGGTTTATGTGTAACTTCCATCCCCAGTTTAGGGAATTGGGATTGCCATGTTGAGAATATGGATTGTGGATGTTGATATACAAGAAGGGCCATTGTTTTGATGAGGAGGGAAATATAATGATGTGTGAATAAAAAGTTATGATTTAAAGATGGCCCTTTATAATGGGTAGTGTTGTGAGTATGGAAATTGAAAGATGAACCTCGTGC